TTGAGCTTCTCCATGGCCATAGTCACTCAAGGCAGCTCCGGTGTTCTTCAAGGAAATGGCGTAGCCGGAATGAGCAGCTGCAAAGGCGTTGCGAGCTACAACCGCTTCTTTCATTAAGCATTTCCGGTCCTTGCAACGAGCCACTGATTCTTCGTTATCTATTCTCGACTGAGCACAACCCATTAAATAAAAATGTAAACTTTTCAGTTCCCAACGACTCAGGTGATGAACACCGAACCGGAGACGGTGGATCGGTTCTTATTGGTTTGAAAACGGGTCGGGTTAGATTTGAGGAAAGAAGATAAAAGACCAAGTGAAGGCCAAAATAGGGTGCACAGAATGCAGAGCAGATGGAGGGAAAGACAGAGAGAGAAATGGGAGAGAATCTTTCGTAGTTCGTACTCGCTCTGATGGATTACCGGGTGTCCCCTGCTATTTCTCTTTCTATATATTTTGCAAGGGTAAATTATAAATTTTATCATTTAACTTTACTCTATCTCCTATTTTTCTCACTAAATTTTAAATGTTTTCAATATTCTCATTGAACTTAATATATTAAATTTTTTTGTCACTGAACTTTAATTTCTCTCCTATTTTGATCACTCATCCGTTAGATAGTTAACAACATAAAAAACGATACAGTTTAAAAAAAATCAGTAAAATAACGTCGTTTTGTATCTATATAACAATCTATTTTAAAATTGTTAACTATTTAACAGTCGAGTGACCAAAAAATTTAATGTATTGAATTCAGTGAGAAAATTGAAGATATTTAAAGTGTAATGAGTGAAATAGGAGAAAATAAAATTCAATTACCAAATTTGTAATTTACCCATTTTTAGTAAACGGGTCAAATTCAAACAAAATGAAACGCTTTACGACGTCGTGCTTGATTAATTTGATAAGCTTCGCAATTAGCATAATGCACTCTTGATTGACGCCTCTCATCATCCTTTGGTTATTTAATCAAATCTTACTATTTACAATTGCTCTATTGTTTTTTTTGGGGGTCTAGTAATGAGTATAAAGGCTATGGGTCGGGTTGGATTTTCGCACCCGACTTGAAAATTATAAATACTCTATCTGATCTGAATGCGACCCAAAAATATATATCTTTCACCCGATCAAAATATGATCTAATTTTTTAGATAAAATCCGAACTCGATCCGACATGAAATAATATATTTATTAAAAAAATATTTTTTATTTAATAAAAATATGAATTTAATTGAAAGAAAATAATATATAGAGGGACATTATTACAATTATCTCTAAATATATAAGGTAAAATTATTAAAAAAATCGAATCAGGTTGGGATAGGTACTTTTCACCCTAAAACTGAACCCGACCCGATCTGAACATAATCTTAAAAAAAATCCGACCCAACCTAATTTGAACTTAAATTTTTTTAAATCCGACTCGATTAGCTTAGGTCGGAGTTCATTTAGCAACAGAAATTTAAAAGAAACGGAAGACCCTGCTACAATTGAACTTAACCACGAATAATCTCCACGAATTAGGTATTAGGTGAGCGGAAATTAGATGGAATGTTTCTCTCTTTGAAGTTGTCCTTTTTGCGAGACAACTTAAAAAAAAGTTACAATTGAAAACATTTACATTTTTAATAAACAATAAAAAAAAGAGTTAATTCCATCATATGTCCTCAAAGTATGGTTCTAATATTAAATTAGTCCCTAAAGTTTTAAATATTTCAATTTCATCCTTAAACTATGATCATCATTCTGAATTATAACTCAAACTCTTGAACATTTCAATTCCATCCCCAAACTATGTTCTTTATTCTAAATTAATCCCCAAACTTTTTGAATATTTCAGGTTTTTCCCAAACTATACATATATATTAATCACATCCCTTGTTAATAAATTCATTAGGCCAAGTTATATTGTTATATGCTTGAGATAAAAACAAAACAAAACAAAATTCATGTTTAACTATGGTTGAAACTAATTACATATTTGGACGAATTTGGGGATGAAATTGAAATATTAAAAAGTCTAGGGACCAATTTAGGAAAAATGTCATATTTTAATAATGAAATTAAAATGCTTAAAAGTTTAAGGACTAATTTAAAATAAGAGTCGTAGTTTAAGGATGAAATTAAAATATTAAAAAAGTTTAAGACTAATTCGAAATGAGAAATGTTATTTGAGGATATATGGTGCAATTAAGTCATAAAAGAAGGAAGGGAACTCAACTCTCGTATAAATAAGCAATGAACACGAATCGTCCACGCTTTGCCACAACTAGATGCCAAAGCTAGATGTCTTCTACTTACAATTCATTATAGAAACGAATCTTACACCATTTTTAGTAAGAAAAAGACCAAACTTTCGAGTTTTGAACCACGTTCGTTGTCTACAAAAATCCTATTTTTAGACCGAAAAAAAGAAGGCTTAAGGGTCATTTTTATTTTTGTAATAGACTTAATTTATTATTTTTGTCTTTATTGTATTTACACATTTAATTTAACCCTTAAAGTTGTTTAATTGCATCATTCTATATCCTAATCTTAAATTATAAATGTTAAGTCAGAGTTTATGGTTTAAAGGTTATGAGGTTGTGATTTAGTGTTTAGAGTTTATACTTTAGGGTTTTAAGCTAAGGATTGGTACAGAATGATACAATTGAATAATTTTAAGGGTTAAATTAAATACGAAAATATATTGGGAGCAAACCCCAAAATAAATCAAACATTTTAAATCCTGCATCATTTTTAAAAAATTGAAGCAATGTTCATTTATTGAGATCGATAACGAAGCTTCTACTTGTGCCTGAGGGTCGTTATTAGTCTTGGTAAATCAACATTCTTTTATAAAATTTTGCATACATGGGAGATTTTAAATTAAATTAAATTTCGAACTCAAAAAGTTCAATTTTAGAATATAGGATAATCGACTAGGTACAAATTTTGGACGTTATGGGGGTGTTAATTCTTCCCCACGCCTAACTGACTCCCGAACCTAATTTCTGATTTCGCAAACCAAAAACTGAATATTTTTTATAAAATAAATATTTTATTAAAATTACTTGTTTTAGGTGTTCTAAATTCGTACCCTAAATATGATTGGTAACGACTCCTAATTTTTTCATAAAAGTTTTTCAAAAAGAGTCAATAATCGATTTTCCACCCAAAAAATCGATTATCACATCTTGACGACTCTGTTGGATACTATTTGTTTTTAAAACAAAATACAGTCATACCGCGAGTCGATTACTTTATATTTTAGAAGTTGGAAAATTTAAGTTCGAATTTATTTAATTTACGATTCATTATGTTTGTTTTTAAATTTGAAAAAAAAATCTCTCTAGTTACTACTTTCATTTGTGTGAATATAAAATAGGATTGCTACGTATCATAGCTCCACACCCGAGCTTCATCATGTTTCACCTAAGTAAGGGGAAAAAGTCACACAACTGAGGAATATTGGTTTTCCCCATGTAGAGCTAATAAAATACCTCTGATAAGCATCTTTTATGTATGTTGAGATACCGATTTCTTTGACAAACATTTAATGGTGTGATCACTTGAATTGAATTCAATTTGCAAAGTTTGTAATGAGTCAGAATTGAAGTCTTTATTAATCTTAGTAGGTTATAAGGATAGTTAAGGAACCGCTTTTAGATTTGAATTTCATGCAAAGAATTTAGAAGCTCGCCCCTTTAGAGCCATGTGGATACCCTAAAATTTTTGTGTGTGTTGTATTTATGGTTTATTTAACAAATTAAAGTTAATATGTTTAATTTTTGCTTATTTATTTTCTTTTGATTATTACTTAAATTTTACTAGTTTCTTTTTGTTTTATTGTTTGTTTTGCATGTTTTTATCAATTTTACATAAACATGACATCTCATCAAAGGTATTGATCTATTAAATAGCTGATCACATTAGAAGGTTCCTAAAACGACAATGCCTTACGTTGGGTTAGATAGAATTTCAAAGATTCATTCATGGTTAGAGTGGAAACAACTACAAGTGAGGAGACAGTCCATCTGCAAAGGCGACGACCCAAATTCAAGAGGATTCAATGTTGAGGGAAGAAGCTAAAAGCCGCGAGTTTGTTCAACAAATTTTCGCTATGGAGAGGAAGCAAAAGCTCTAAAGATTTTCAAAATGCTAGAGTATGATGAGGAATGATGCATCGTCCAACTACTCACAGGAGTGAACAGTTAGAAGATAAAGCTAGATTTTATCTGTAATCTGATTTTCGTTTTCCCAGAGTATCAAGACATTATCAGTTCTTTAAGAATTATTCTAAGAACAGTTATTTTGGAATTAATATCTTTTGCATTTGCGTCCTACATCATGCATTTGCATTTGCGTCCTACATCATGCATTTGCATTAACATTGCATTTATTCAAGCATTTTGCATACATTCAACCATTTGAAGTTGAGATTAATTTGTGGAGGGTTCTATGACAAAGATCCTAAAAGTAAGTGAAAATCACTTTTATCGTGCCTCTAGAATGAAGAAGACCATAGAGGAAAAGTTAGTTGAGTTTGAGAAAAAAAAATCAGATTGCCTCTTTAAATCCTGCTTCATTTTAAAAAATTGAGACAATGTCCATTTTATTGAGATCGATAACGAAGCTTCCGCTTGTGTCTTGGGGTGGTCGATTTTAGTCTTGGTAAATCAACATCCTTTTATAAAATTTTGCATACATGGTGGATTTTAAATTAAATAAAATTTCGAACTAAAGGATTTCAATTTTATAATATAAGGTAATCGACTAGTTACCAATTTTGGGCGTTATGTGGGTGTTAATCCTTCTCACGCGTAACCGACTCCTGAACCTAATTTCTGATTTCACATACCAAAACTGGGTATTTTTTATAAAATAAAATATTTTATTAAAATTACCCATTTTAGGTGTTCCAAATTCTCAACTTAGAAATGATTGGTGGCGATCCCCAAATTTTTCATAAACGTTTTCCAAAAACGTCAATAATCGGTTTTCCACCCAAAAGCCGGTTATCACACAAGTATAAAAGATTGACATAACAAACTTGAGAAACAAAACCAGTATCATAAGAGGTTTCTAGACACACTGTATAAATTTTTCAACTGAAGGAAATAAGGCCTGTAGACTAACTAAAACAAGAAAAAAAGGCAAAACATAGGGAAATGCAGCAGTTGTAGAGACCATACCTTCATATCAGAAACTCCACATTGGTTGTTTGCTTCACAAGATGGCTTCCTTTTAATTCAAAGGAATATACTAAACAGAAAATTAGAACTTTAGCTGCCATACCATTTATAAACAACGCATATTATGCTTAAAACAAAGCAGGGTAGTAGCTTGTAGGTTGTACTTACCAAAATTAGGGGAAGATAATTATCAGTGCTCATTTGGTCTTAAAGTTGGCCTTCACTCTTTTTATCTCTTTCCGTTGTTGCTGAAAATAAAAATTAAATGGTTAACACAAAAGCAACAAAAGGTAGAAATGCATAAAAAGGCTTGACAGAAATTTGAAACCTCGTATAACTTTTTCCAGAACCGATTGGATGTTTCTGTCATTAAGCACCATTCCATGGCCATATCATATTCAAGTGTGTTGGGCTGGGAACAATGTGAAGTAGATACTGCTTCTTTCTGTGGAGGGGGGGGGGGACAGAATACCCGACAACAAATTAACAGAAACAGAAAGGAAAAAGGAAAGCACAAAATAAAAACAGATTTACTGCATTCATGTGGCAGAGGGCGTGATTAAACCAAGCATGCTAACACCAAACAGATACCTACAAACCGAGAGACAAAGAAAGAGGAGAAATAGGTACCATCTCCCGTAGGTATTTGAGTTTATCAACAATGAGATGGCCTGCAAACATTGACTGCTTCCTTAAGAAGCAGGGATTTGGGATGCTGGCAACAAGTGGCCTACACGACAAGGAATAGAAGAAAATAAATAATATCCTCGCAGCTCTTAAGGCCAGTTCTACATGTTGCAAATTAATCTAAAGGTTACGAATAAGACAGAAATTCACAATAATCAGACCAGCATAGAGCCATAGATAAACAATGTGGCGCAAACGGAAAAAGACATGATAAAACAAGGGATAAAAGAATCTAATGAGGTCACGACACTACAGAAAATGCGATCATATGATCAGAAAACCTAAATCTATATGTTTTAGTAAGACAAAAACGAAAGCCAATCACAAACACATAGTTCATCAGAAAACAAGATAAAAATGAAAATGTGCAGGCTGTGAAGTAATACTTTCCAAACCCATCATCCGAGGGGTAAAGGGCATGCTAGTACATGATGCAGCATATCATAACCAAGTCCTGTCCTGTGCTACCAAATCACAGCAAAACTTGACAGTGGAGGTGGAACCCACTGGTTTAAGAAGCATGATACCAATTACGGACTATGATAATATATGTACAGAACCACATATCGAACATGATTGCACCGTACCTCTGATTCGGTAGCCACAAGCATCTCTTATCCAATTCTGTAACTAACCCCTCTGCTACTTCCCTTGTATTGAATATAGCAAAAGCTTGACCTACAACATGAACAAACAAATTTCCTTAAATGCTCAATTTACCCACTACAAACTATATTTGAGGTAACCTAAAAAGGCTGTGCTTTTACTTTTGCATTATAAATAGGTATATCAATAAACTATGTTAGGAAGCATAAGAAAGGATATAGAACATGAAGATGATATTATACACACACAATATGACATCAAAGATCACTTGAGGCAAACACCAATAGAATTAGCAAAACATTAGGCCAGCCTTTCTTGTATACCTTTTCTGATATATCCTGTTTGATATCTCAATATTGATGAGATATCGTTTCCTAATGAGAATAATAGCAGAGTTCTGTATAAGGACCTCTAGCTATTCAAAGTAACAAGAATATTTCCTACTATTTTGGCAACTTTTTGTTTCATATTCAGATAATCCACATTTTTTTTTAGTTCCACTGGGAGGAAAACTGTTTCTCATGAAAGTTCCATATAGAATATATTCATACCAGAATGAGGGCTAGAATATGCAGTGTGCTGCACCACCTTTGCTCTGCATGTTTTCTTGAAGGCAGTCCAAACTATATCCTGAAAGAATAATACATATTCTTTGTAACAAAGAAAGAAGGTACAAAGCAGAAAGGTAGAGAGAAAAAGATAACAGAAACTATTCATGGAAATACAAAATGCTGCAAACACAACATGAATTTTTATTTATAATTGATATTACCTGTTCTATCAAAAAATAATAATAATAATTGATATTACCTGCACATCCGCTGAAGAGTAAGTTGGATCCAAATTTTGAAACAGAACAAGTTTTCCATGCTCATGTGCATCCTGCATTCTTTCTTCCCAAGGCTGAAACAATGTATGAGGCAGTTCAAAGATCAGCTTAAAGTTGTATACTAATTTTATGAAAGGATAACAACATTCTGCAATCGCTTTAGCAGTGGCTGAAGAGTCCTTACAATTTCCCCAAACCAATTGCTCCTATCCTGTCAGCATGAATAAACAATAACATGTAAGAAGTAAATCTTCGCAAGAAATTTCCACATCAGAGAGTGAAACACAGAGATAACAGAAAAGTAAAACCAAAATAGGTGGAGAAGCAGAAACAGGCAAGCATGATATTGTATGGGATACAACGAGTAAAGGCAGGAACCAGGTAGGAGAAACAAGCATATGAGACCACACTATTCTTTGATTAAACGTTAAATAAATTGAAATTTGAGGTGATTTTATTTATTCATGTCCCTCCAACATAATATCTTTAAAATGAAAATGACCAGGGAGGGAAAAAAAAGGAAGAAGACATCCCAAAAATACCACTTACAGAATCAGGCATACAGATAACTTCTACAGCTTTGTCACCAGTTCTTTTACCATCATTTGGAGACATTCCAGGAGTTTTGCAGTTAGTAGGTTTTGTGAGTTTATCATCAATTTTCAGCTTATCGGAAGACTTTTTGGTTGTCCAACGAGGATCTGTAGGATGTCTTGAGTTTTCATCATCATTGGAGACTTTCACAGAACTATTAAGCTTTGCTTTCTTATGTGGTCTCTCATCCAACTCACTTGCATCCTTCATGTATTTTAATTTTTCATCAACTTTGACTTGATTGATATGATCTATTTTCTCAATAGAAGAGTTTTGCGGTTTAACCGATGACACTTCTGAGTCTGCATTTTCTTTAACGTCACGTCTAAAACCTGTCTTATCACCAGAAGTATTTTCCTGTCTGTCATTTGCTTTGGCCAATTCGCATGACTCTGTAACTACACCGGAAACAAGCTTCTCTCTCTGGGAGATATTATGTTTAACTGATGGAACTTTTACATCTGAATTCTCTTCAACTTTAAAACTTGAAGCAGATTTGTAGTTAAAGCCATTCTCTTGTCTATCATTGGGAGCAAGCTTCTCTGCAACCACAGGTTTCTGTTCCTCTTGTCTATCATCTTCAGGAATTTGGTTCTCAGATGAGTTTAGCTTAGACAAAATCACTCTTCCATTTATTTCCATAGCATTTTCACTAGCATTTTTATCATCCGCGCTAAAGTTATGGACAGAAGAAGGCTCTAGAAAACCAGGTCGGTTAAAAATAAATTTAACTGAAACAATTAGGAATTTCAACAATTAATACAACCAGCGTCAAACTCAAAACCAAAATGAAAGAGAGCAATAGATGACTGGAAAATAAATACCTTCAGTTCCAGCAATTTTTTCATCTATCCTATCCATGATAGTTCTCAGTCCAACATCAAAAGTACGGTAAAATACAAAGTCAGCCATTTTGATATCTCTGTCAGAAGGTTGTGGATTTCTGCTATCCTTTGAAATGCAAACTACATTGCACCTTCCATTAATTGATTCCTGAATTAAATGTAAACAAAATTAGCAATTAAGTAGATAAATGTAAGTTTAACACTTTCAAAAGCTCAAGAGCAAAAACGGACAAACAATTCGATTCAAAACTTCAATATCCTTAATACTAAATTGAATTGGACATAAATTACCATATTCAAGGATTATAAGAATTTTAGACCAAAACCATTCCACTTTGTAGCCCACCACGTGTCAAAAGTACAGAAGAGATAAGAACTCTCGGATAAGTTCCAGTCGAACTGTTATCTAACCCACTTCATGCAAGCAATTCTCAAATGGCCTAACAGCTAAACGAAAAAGGGAAATTAACACTTGACTAATTAGATTAACAGAGAATCCCTCAAATTATCATGCTGGAAAGTATTTCCTCAAATAAAAATCAAATGAAAAAATAATACACAGCCACTACTAAAAATCACAAAATCATACTGTGAATTACAAGTCAGGGAAGACAGAGAAAATATGACAGTATCTTTCTAGAAAATGAAATATTAGAGTAATGAAATTATTATAAAATCACAATTACCAGTGGATTGATGTTGGCAAGGCCTTCTCCTTCACCAGTCGCTAAAAATATTTCTTTCGGATGTGCCAATTCATCTACAATATAATTTGAAATCTCCCAAGGTTGGAAAAACCATAAAACCTTCACTTTCTTCGATTTATCAGCAGTCTCCCATATTTTTATAAGTTTTCCAAGATAAGGGAATGATTCGCCTTCCTTATAAAGATAAATATTGTCATAAAGAGTATAATCAACACCATCATAAGTAAATGATTCATAAAACTGAACATCTCTCTTTTTCCCACCAATCCTCCTTTTTTTACCCCACTTGAATTCATTGTACTCTGTTCCACCGACTTCCGCCATACTCGCACAGCAGCCTCCACTTAACATGAAAAAAAACAAAACTAGAAAAATTAGGAAGATGACGGAAACATTCAACACGCAAATAGAGCATTCTAATTCTGTAGTACACTTTTGTTAAAATATAACAACGAGCAGTACCAATGATGATTTTTCCCCAAGATTATTAACTAGAAAGAACAAACGAGGAGAATTGAATACCGATGAGATTTGAATAAAAAAAAGAGTTATGAACGACCGCCAAGTAAACAATTTTTACTATTAAGATACTTTCCGGGACCTACGATCCGGAGAAAACAAAAAGCATCGAATAACCCTGAAACTGATTCTTGTAAACCAATGCCGTGAGTAATAGCTACTAAACCCTGCAACAAATATAAAGATTGCCGGGAAATTCTCTTACCTGTTCAGAAGAGGCCGAGGGTGAAGACTGTTGCCTGTACAAATTTTATCCTATTTTTAAAAAACCCTAATCTTTTAATTTCCCTACTTTGCATCGCTTGAATTAAGTCCTACATTAAGCTTCCTCTTCTTGTAATCTGATTTATATATGTTCTTCTGACGTGTTTCTCCTTGGGTTCTCTTCGGCGTCTTTCCCCTTCCTTTTTACCACCGTATAGGATATAGGAAGGAGTATGAGAGAGAGACTACCTTATATAATCAAATATTTAATTTTTTTAATAAAATAAAGAAGAGTTTATTGAACTATGTTTAAATAATTATTTTAATTATTAAAAGGTTTAATTATAAAATTAGTGTTCAAATTATAACGTTTTTCACGAATAGGTTTCAAACTATTTTTTAAATGATCATGGCGTCTAAGGTTATAAACATTACCACTTTAGATGTCTGGGATGTAAAGATAGTTAGATAATTACATTAATATACGCGTGTCATACTTAAGTAATTTTAAAATAAATTTAAAAATAAAAGTATTATATTTATAAAAACCTTATTTTTAAAAAAAAGTTACTAAAAAGTCCTAAAATCCCCCAAATTCTAAAATTAATCCTAACCCTAACTCGACCTCCGCTTCTAACCACAACCGTCACCTCAGACACATTCATTTCCATCTTCGTAGTAAGAAAACGCTATGGAGTCGCGATGGTATTTGTTTCATCACGTTCATCGCCATTTCGTCGAGGTAGATTTTGATGCGATTTTGGGGATCTTCGGATGTTGTTCTGGCAATTGTTCGTCGAGTAACTGGTCTTCGGTGGAGGTATGACCATGTGGAAGTCCAATCGACAACAACAACAACAGTGGCGGGCATGGGTATAGGGATTAGATTTAGGATTTTCAAAGTTTAGGTGAGGTTTTTATAATTTTTAAAAACTTCAGGTTTTTTTAATATATTTTCAAGTTTTTTAAATAATTTTTTTAAAATTACCTGAAGACGACGCACGCCACTTAGTGGAAGAAATTAACTTCTCTTATAGTCCGAACACCTAAAATAATAACATTTGTATCGTTATGTACCGAAGTCATTCAAAAATAGTATAAACATCTATTCGTGAAAACGATATACTTTGAACACTTATTTTAGAATTAAGTCTTATTAAAATTTAAAAAATAATTATTAAATTTATCTCACTACTATAAGATTTAATCATCTTTTTGTAATAGGATATATATCATCACCATTTATAAATGGTAAAATTTTTGTTTTTCTTTCTGACGTATTAATATCACCCACTTCATCAAAACGTGACACGTGCAGGTTCTCAAAGCCGGCCCTTGTGTTCCGTATTTGGAACATACTCATCTCTGAAAAGCAAATGATGTTGGTTTTACTATACCAAGTTAAAATCCATGAAGATCCACGGCATGACCTATCCGTTAAAGAAAATTCTCAGATCTACCAAAACAAACAAAAAAACATGATGTTCTAATAGATTCATCACCAAACCATTATGATACAATAAGTAATATCATTTTATCCATAACTAAGAACATGATCCATGGATACCTTCTGCATAACTAAACTCGATGGCTTTGAGGTATAATTATTATAGAACAAACTGGATATTTTACTTTGGGACCCAAACAATGTGATCCTGAGGAAGGAAATGGCAGATGGGAACGGTTCCCGGCTCAACCTTAAGGACTTGAAAAGCCAAATGCTTTGGGTTCCATGCCGATGTATCCGTGTGGCAGACTGCCACTGCTTTGGCTTTTGTACCGTCTGCACCGTCCAAATGAACCGTGTAAGCCCTTGTTGTTTCCGATTTATGGCAGTAGAACACGGCGTATGCGTAGTTCTGCTTGTGGCATACTACGACTTTTTCGCCGGAAATTCTATCTACTCCGGCGGATATTGTGTATTTCTGCTTTGGGGTTTGTTTTTCCACCTCTGTTGAGACTGCCTGGTCGATTTTCCCGAGCTTGGAAGTGGTGAAGTCGATCATGGACTCGAGTGAGGTTGCGCAGTATTTTTCTTCTCCTTGAATCGATGGCTGTTCGCACTCCTTGATCGTGTTCTTCATCGTCTCTGCCTTTTCCGATCCGGGTTTTACTGAGAATTTGGAGAAGATCTCCGGTAACTTGTCTGATGAAAACGGTATCGTTTGGGAGATTTGGTGAGGTAAGAAGGTTGATTTCTGTGTGTTTTGGTTGAAATGCAGGGTCATCGTTGCACCGGGGTGCATGTCTTTTTCCAAAAAGAAAAGTGCCACGTTCGGGTCGTCGTGGATTTGAGTCTCGGTGGCTGCATAATTGTAAATAAACGGTGAAACGTTAACGTGTACTGGCGGCTTTCCTTTGTGCCCGGTGTTTACCGATACTCCTCCGCCTTTGCCGCCGACGCTCACGTGAGTGCCGCCGCCTGGTTTTCCTTTCCCGGTGTTCACCCCAACTCCGCCCTTTCCGACGCTCACATGAGTGCCGCCCCCTGGCTTTCCTTTCCCGGTGTTCACGCCAACTCCGCCCTTACCGACGCTCACGTGAGTACCACCCCCTGGTTTTCCTTTCCCGGTGCTCACTCCAACTCCGCCCTTTCCGACGTTCACGTGAGTGCCTCCCCCTTTCCCGGTGTTCACCCCAACTCCGCCCTTTCCGACGTTCACGTGAGTGCCACCACCTGGTTTTCCTTTCCCGGTGTTCACATGTACTCCACCGTTTCCAACGTTCACGGCGGTACCCCCAGGCTTCCCTTTCCCTGTATTGACGTTTACACCGCCACCACCTACATTCACAGATGTACTTTTCTCCCTCAATAATTCTGCAAATACACCAAAATGATCACTTAACATATTTACTCATCCATGCCGAGTAAAATGATTTGAAGAAAAATAATCCTCATGGCATTGAACACTCACCAGGATGTAGAATTTCTTGAACAACCTTCGGCATCGGAGTATCCGGCAGCTTATTGTTCCAATATTGCTCAGGTGAGCGAGCTGCATGGCTTGCCACCGCAGCAAGCTGCAAAACACAGACAACAAAAAAGAAAATTTCAATTAAAATAAGAAAGGGTAAACTACATATTTAGTACCTAATATATCAGTTTTAGTACTTAAACTTTCAATTTTTTTAAAAGCATACCTAACATTTAGTTTTTATTTCATTTTAGCACCCGTCATTAAAATCTTATAGCGTTTAGTACTTAAATTATCAGTTTTTGTTTGTTTTAGTATCTAAATTTTCAATTTTTTCAAAATTTAACATTAAGTTTTTAACGGGTACTAAACAAAAACTAAATTTTAGGTGTGATTTAAAAAAAATAAAAATTTAGGTACTAAAACGAACCAAAAATAATAATTTATTTATTAAACATGTAATTTACCCAAATAAAAAACACACAACAACAAGCCATCATGGACAGCCACATGTTTTATATTAGGTAACTATCTAAAAGTTTATAATCTAAAAGTTTATATTAGGTAACTTATAAACTTTTAGGAGTACAAAAACATATTATATATATAAAATATAGGATGAATTATTCGTTTAGTACCTAGATTATTAGTTTATGTCTGTTTTAGTACCTAAGCTCTAATTTTTTTTCAAAACTAGACCTAAAGTTCTTTTTTGTTTCATTTTAGTACCCTACAGTTAAAAACTTTAGTGTTTGTTTTATTTTAGTACCCATTCAAAATTTAACTTTAACTTTTGAAAAATTTTAGGTTTAGTTACTGAAACGGATCAAAACTGATAGTTTATGTACTAATCGCGTTAATTTTTTAACGACAAATGCTAAAACGAAATAAAAACTAAATATTAGATATTATTTTAAAAAATTAAGTACTAAAACAGACCAAAACTGATAGTTTAAATACTAAATGCGTAGTTTATCTTAAGTTTTAAAAAAATATATAAAAATTCGAACTTTATAGTGAAGTGATACCCCGACGTGGGCAACTCCCTCGATCTATTCTTACAAGCAATCACCTGAAATCGGAAAACTTACCGCTAGGAATGCAAGAACCGGCGAGAGAAGCTTCATCGAGCAAAATAATTCTAAAGAAAGAAAGTTAGTGTTGCATGGGAATGGAAAGTAGGGCAAGACTGCTCCACATTTATAATGATAAATGAACTTCGGACAAAGTAACTCTCCCAACTGCTTTTCTCAACTGCCACTGGTTATTACATAAATGCAGGATGTGTCATGCCGGCTTAGGTGGATGTAGCCAGTGGTTGTGCGTGTATTCAAACTCGGTTTGCCAACATTATTGATTGGAACATTGGTTATGGACCTCACTAGCAGCAACAACTTCGATAATATCCTGTTTTAATTCCCGCGGAATTTTATGAGATTGATTGAACTAATAACAACTACCCTATTTATGAAGGTATAGTATATGTGTTCTTATCGTATGATAATGTAAGGATGGACCGACTCAGTGCTGGGATAATTATATTGTTGAAAATTTTACATTTCAGTTTAAATATTTTTATTAATAAATTTATAATTTATATATCAATTTTAGAACTATTATTTAAGTGCCAAATCAGGGGGGAAATATTTAATTTAAATCATAAATGTATATTTAATTCGAAATATGGAGTATAATATAATGCTTCCTTTTATAAATCTGTCCCACAAACAAATGAAAAACCGCGCACCGCCCTTGCTTAAACCATTGACTTGTTTACATCGGAGTTAGAAGTTAGAGGTTAGAGTTAAAGGCTAGATTCTAGAAGCCAGTTTTCGGCAGTATGTTATTTTTTTTATAGTAAATTATGTATTTAATATTTAAATATTTAATTTTTATTTTATTTTAATACACCTCGTTAAAAGCTTCAGTTTTTTTTATTCATTTAATACTATTGCTCAAAATTTAACGTTAAGTTTTGAAAAAATTAAACGTTTAGATACTAAAACGGGCCAAAACTGATAGTTTAAGTATAAACGTGTTAAGTTTTTAACGAAGCTGAAATGAAACCTAAATGTTATGTATGATTTTGAAAAAATTAAAAGTTTAGATACTAAAACAAATCAAAATTAATAGTTTATGTGCTAAATACGAAATTTACCCTATATTTTTTTAAGCCTAGGCCGAGCTATAGTCTAGAATTAGATTATAAATAAGAAATATATTGGAGGTAAATAGTGAAATTAGAAAATTTAAATTATAATATTAATATTTTTAAAGTGATGTTTATTTTATTTTAAATAGTTTTATATAAAATTTGATAAATATTCTAAATAGTTTTAAATTGATGTTTATTTTATTTTAAATAATTTTATATAAAATTGATAAAATTGAAGAATTTTTTTTTAAAACTCATCACATTTTTTTTTATAATTCAGATTTTATTACCTAATGTCAAAATAGATACAACCAATCAACCAATCAAGAGAAACAGTCAAAAAGGAAACAACCTATACAAAAGAGATTGGTTAGAAAATATCCCAAGCATTACAAAGCTTTAGATTAGTTATATCAAGTCTATTTATGTTAGTTCCCCTAAGTCTAATTCCAACGACATCTTTGACATCTTTGAGCAAACATTAAACCGTTCTATGACATCCTAGGAAGACTCTCTAATTTATTTCCTGCCATAGAAAGTAGATGCAAGCAGTCTAAGAAATTTTCAAAATGGTGGTAAGGAGAGACTTCCCTTTCCATGAAGAAGAAGCCCTTGAAACCATACCATCCCATGACATGATCGATGGCTTCATCCTATTAAGGTTCAAAACAAATTTCCAGAGGTCTGCTGCCATAGGACAATGCAAGAAAAGATGGTCCATTGTTTCTTGGTTAAAATTGCAGTTTACACATTGAACTTCTGAGCAAATTCCCATTTTAATAAGCCGATCTCTAGTAGGCAGCCTGTTGACAAGAGTCATCCAAGCTATTAAACTATACTTAGGAATATGCAATGGAAACCAAATTAATTTATGCCAATTGACCTTATGCCCTTTGATTCGAATCATGTCCTAAATTTCCTTCAATTGCATAGGAACAGTTGAGGTAATGGGAGATGCTTCAGATCGCAATTTCAGAATCCGTTTAATAGTCCAGCTAACGTTTGCACCAACTTAACAAGTTTAAATGAAAAAATATAATTTGTTAAACTTATCACGTGGACATAACGAGCTTATCCTATACTGTAATATTTACCGTAAATTTCAAATTAAAATCCGAATTGATTTAATAAACTAACTTTTTTTATCCGCTCGATTTATTGGGTCAATTTTGCCTTAGAATTAGTGGTGTTTTTTTTTTATGTAAATGGGCCAAAAAAAGGCCATTAGAATTGTCTCGCCCTCTCTCATTGGTTGGCAAAAATGAGCCAAACCCTAATCTATTTCGTCACAATATAAATACCTCAACTGAATTACGTACAGAATTTTTCTTGAGTTTTCGCGGCACGAAGAACCGAAGAAAATGGTATTTATCATTACTATCATTTGGATTCACTCTCCATGTTCGTACCATTAATTGATAATTTTAAATTGAATGTAAAGCTTTTTTCCTCTTTCTTGATAGGGAAAAGGAACCGGAAGCTTTGGAAAGAGAAGGAACAAGACTCACACGCTATGCGTTCGATGTGGACGACGGAGCTTTCATCTCCAGAAGAGCCGTTGCGGTGCCTGCGCCTACCCTGCCAGCCGCATCCGAAAGTGTAAGATCTTTCTTTTTGCTTTTGATTTTGCAAATCCACGTGTTTTAGTAAATTTAGCTTAGTAGTTTACTTAGCCGAACTTAGATTTGGCTAGCAAATGAAAAATTTCATGATAATCGATGACTAGTTAGATGTGTTTTACCTGATTTAGATTTAGGATATCGTAATCCACTTTCTATTATCTTCGATTCCTTCGATCTTTCATGTGCTGATTATAGTGTAGTTTTTGGGGTAAGAATCTGTATACGAAGCAATGTTCAAGTATCATTGCTTGATTGAAAGATTGAAGCCTGGATTTATTGTCCCTGTTTTTTAAATCATTCTGTCTAGTGAGTTCTGAACAATTGCTTTTTACTGGTAATATATGCTCGTTTGATTAGTTTGTTTGGATTTGCTTTAGATAACTGGAGTGTGAAGGCTATTAGAAGAAAGACTACTGGAACCGGTCGAATGAGGTACCTCCGACATGTTCCTCGAAGGTTCAAGACTGGGTTTAGAGAAGGTATCTCTCTCGATTCCGTATACGATCATCGTCGGATGAAATGAAAGCATGTTTGATCAATAGTATATAGTGATGCGATGTTCTTGAATTGTTGTCCGTCAGGTACTCAAGCAACTCCAAGGAAGAAGGCAGCTGCAGCTGCTACATAAGTTGATCGTGGTGTTTTGTTTTGTTGCCAGGGAACCCCGATTCGACAAACGGTAACTTCTGGGTTTCTCTCAACGATGTGGTACTTTTTATTTCCAAAACAATGTCTACAAGCAGTAAGTTTTGTTTTATTATGAATCTGTGCATTATTCAGAACAATTTTATCTCCATCTCTGTGTTATAATATATGCAGACCGATAGATGATCTTGCATCACTCAACATTGTGGTACCATTCAATAGCAAGCATATTGTCCCACATTTTAAATTCCTTTAAAGACTCAATCATATGATTCGACTATGATTTAACTTGCACTCTGTGTATGATCATAGAAATTCTTAAGAACCCTACTGTAGGAGTGTTCAATTGGTTAATTTGCTGTGAATCCATGTTAGTATGAGTGTTCATTCTGTTAATTTGGTTAACCGATTGAACCAAATTACCCAAAAATTCATTAATCGAAATAATTAACTGAACCAAAATAAAAAAATTAAGCGAACTGAACTAATTTTAGTTAATTGGTTGGTTAATCAAATTAGTTAAAATTTATAAATAATATATATTCAATATTTAATATTTTTAATTTAGTCGCTTACTTCGGTTTAATTGGTCAGTTGATTTTAAATCGTATTTACCAATAATTGAAGTTTGAAAAAATCATTAATTTGGTTTTAATCGAATTATGAACACCTCTATATGCATGCTAGAAGAGTATCAACAAGAGCCCCTGAGATACGTGCAATGTGTTTGTCGCTTTGGCATGCACAAGAAGATCTAGACAGGGCAGATCAAGCCTGGCATGCTAAACGCAAATGAATTATTATTATTATTATTTGAGAAAAAACGTGAATAAATCATAAAAGGTGAAAAACGAGGATAAAATGAACACGTCACTTGGAAAGCGATTAGGGAAATTACAATTAAAAAAATTTATGATATTGTTATTTTTAGAAGTTATAATTTGAGCACTAGTAACGGTAATAGAGTGATTAAGAGTTTATTTTTAAATGATTTAGAGTATTTAGAATAAATATTACTTTGTAATTACCTTAGTTTAATAGAACAAATTTAATTACTTTATTGTTAGAATTCAATTTTATATGTATTTATATTTATAAAGAATAAATATTATAAAGTCGGATTGAATTATTAGATAATTATATATTTAATGGCTCATACAACATTAATCGTTTGTAGGTGTATTCTATATATAAATATAACAATAGTTGTGTTTAATAATATTAATTGTTTGAATCCTATTGGTTAATTAAATATATACATTTTAATTTGCATTGATGAAATGATAACATGAAGAGACGTTATATTAAATTAAAGATATGTGATATTAACACAAAGAAATAAAATATTAACATGAAGAGATGCAATGATTTATTTGATGTACTTTTAATATATAAGAAAAAATATTAGTTGACCCTTATTCCCATATGTAATGGGATAAGGAGGAAGTAGGATAGTAGGTTGTGTCCCTAACGTCAGGTTTAGAGCAGCTTCCGTAGGAGACCTCCAAATTATAAAATGCCCTCCGTGAGACTCGATCCCACGACCCCAATATTAAGAGCCTTATGCTCTACCAAATGAGCTGGATGATCATTTCTACTTTTAATATATAAGAAGTTTTCTTAATAAGTTTTCTGATAAGAGATAATTTGAATTTGTTCAATTATAGGGTTTGTTTTATCTCTATGATAAAAGAAATTATTATTTTTCTAGGGATAGATATAAGTCGAGTCGGGTCGGGTCGGGTTTTTGTTCTACCTGACCCGACCTGAAATTTTAAATCCTCCTCCCGATCTGAATCTGACCCGAAAATTATACCCCTTCCTCCAGATATGAATTTTTGAGATCAAATCTGAATTCGACCCGAAATAATAGGGATTTAATTGAAAGAAAATAATATATAGAGTGACATTATTGTAATTATCTCTAAATATATAAAATAAAATTATAAATTTTTTCAGATCAGATTTTTTTACCCTAAAACTGAACCCAAATAAAAAAATCATACCCAATTAGATCAACTCGGGTCGAAACCCATCGGATAAGGGTCTGATGCCCATCCCAAATTATTTTTAAAGATCCGAATTCGAGTGCCATAGATGTCGTGAGTGTGAACGCTTAATATCAAAATATTAAAATTGAGAGTTATATTTAAATAAATATTATCTTGTATTTATCTCAATTTTTTTAAAAAACAGTAATCATATATTAGAAGGAAACGAAATAAAGGTTGTTGGACAATTATATTTGAAAAATAAAACAAAATAAGGATGGTTAGACAGTGACTTTTTTAATTGTGTTAGTACAAATTTTGTGTGTGGGGGAATATAGCAACTGAACATAATATTAAAAAGTTATTACCGTATCGTGGTGTAATGGCAAAGACACATTGACAATAGGCCTGTTTGTTTTTCGTAATTGAAATTACTGAATTGATTTTCTTTAAATTTCAGTGTTTGTTTCATGTAATTTGTTCTTTAGAAAATATATTTCGTGTTTATTTCACGTAATTCGTTTTTCGAAAAATATTTTTCAGTGTTTGTTTCACGTAATTGATTTTCCTGAACGTAATTCATTTTCCTAATAACAAAATTTTCTTTATGTTTTCTGGAAAATGACTTACAGATTCATTTTCTGACTTTTCACTTCATAGAATAAATACTCAAAATAATTTTACTTTATGAATTTAATATTAATAAAATATTTTAATATCATTTTCATCAAAATATTATTTATTAATATTTATAATAATATTATATTATATTTTTAATATTATATAAAATAATCAATTATATTATAATAATATAAGATATTATTTTTTTTAATAATATATAATAAAAAATTATATATTTAATAATGAATAATATTATTTATATATTTATAATATTTTAATAAAGATATTTAAAATATACTAATTAATATTTTTAAAATATAATATAACACTATTACTTTAATAAATGATTTATAATATTTATAATATTTTTATTTCACTAAAATATACAAAAATTAATATTTTTATTAATAAAATTATAAAAATACTATTTAATAATAAATAAATTATTTGTAATAATAAAAAAGTTTTATGATAAATAATATTATTTATTGTATTTAATATTTGTAATAAATAATTTTAAAAAAACTCTTCAACTAGTGAAAAAAAGTTTAAATAATATCTTTCAAACATCATAAAACGTTTTACAGATGTTTTTCAGAAAAATGTAATTCATTTTACGGAAAACATTTTCCGGAAAACGTTTTCCAGAAATGTAATTCATTTTTCAGAATTCAAATTCCTGTAATTCAAATTTCAATAATTCATTTTCCGGAAAACCAATTACAGCCAAACAAACAAATTTATTTTTAATGGTACAAATACCATATTAACAATTATCAACGTAGAGGTATCACTTTAACAATGAATAAATCATACTTATGATTATTTAATTAACGATTAATTTTAATTTTATTATTAATTTTTTTAGTTTTATCAATTAAATAATTTAATTTAAATAACGTTAATCAAATTACCAATGGGTTGGTTTAAGTAGTAAGCATATTGATATCGTTTAAGTAGATATCGAGTTCTAGTCTTTGTATATACAAAAAATCTCTGTAGGGAGACTCATCCACCAAAATCAGATGTACAATATAAGTCGATCTGAATTAATCAGGACTAAACCCTAGAACCAAAAGGACAAAAAATAATATTAATCAAATTACTACTCGTTATCATTTAATGGAGAAGATGATATGATAATTATAAAAATTAGTATACTCGTAATCAAATTTAGTTTTAATTTTAATTTATTTTAATAAATTTAATCATTTAATATGATTAATTTTTCTATATAGAAAATAAATTTGATCGTTGGGTAGGTTTAGAAAAAAAGCACACGGGATGGCCGCGAGTCCAAGGTGGAGATATCCTGGCCGTCGAATACAAAAAAATGTTCGTTCTTTAATTATAGGATTGAAGGTGTATTACTCCGCCCCTTATGTTTGAAAAACTTTGTAGACCGTTTCATTTTCTCTCTCCCTCTCTTGGTTTCCTTTGCTCTTCTTCTGATCTTCATCTTTTGTAATCTTCGCTGTGCATTTGCACGTCATCATCTTCGATTTCTTAACATATCCTCGCTTGGATCTGCAAACGTGCATCGTTTTTACTTCCTCTGTCTTATCAGTTCTTCATTTCTCGGGTTTCGAAGCTAAATTAAGTGGTTGGCTTCTTGATCTTCTTTTTTTGGGATTTTTGCTTTTCTTCTTATGAGTTTGAACTTTATTCCTTCGATCTTCATCTTTAAGTTACGTACTTAACAATTTGCTTCAATAACTGTCGGTTCTTTATCCAATTTCCGAGTCATTAAATTTTGAAAACTGAATGAATTTAAATTACATCACTTGAAATCGTTGATTTCTGAATTTTTAGTTTCTATTGTACAATTGTTTTTGATATATGTTTTCTGATTTCTTTTTCCTTTTTTTTGTTTGATTGCTCTGTTGTTGGTGCGCAGGAACTCTATAGTTACGTTGATTTCTAATGATTTGGACAGTAGATTGAGGGGAGAAGCGTTGTAGAGTTGGAATTGCGGTATGCAGCTTCATTTATTTACAAAAGAACTATGGAAGGTGACAGAACAGTATCGAACCCTTCGGTTGGATCCAGCATCGGCGATGATGCTCAGAGAATTCGAGCTCTTCATGGGTATTTATTTGTAAACCCGTGTGATTTTTTCCTTTTAGTACCTCGTACAGAACACTAATTAAAATCCAGGATTGGGGTTCTTGGGTGCTATTTCCCTCTTTCGACGATGTTTATTTCAGAAATTGATTGTTTTATGAAGTTCTGTGTTTTTTTTCCTGACTTTGCAATGATTCTATAGGAGGACTACCGGTCCTACGAGACGTTCTACAAAAGGACAATGGACAGCTGAAGAGGTAATCATCGTAGTCTGTCATGTATTATAGCGTCAACTAATTTAGTCCCATCCTGTAATGTTGTATCAGTGGTCGCATGCATACTCTTTAATGAATTTTCAGTTTGACTACATAATTCTATGGGATTCCAGGATGAGATTCTCCGTGACGCTGTTCAACGTTTTAAAGGAAAAAATTGGAAAAAGATAGGTATTATTCTTGATTTTAAGAGGCATGGTATCTATTTTTTTTCATCATTTTAAATGTTCTAATTGTAAGCCGGTTCATCTGCAGCCGAGTGTTTCAAGGATCGGACTGATGTACAGTGCTTACACAGGTGGCAAAAGGTCTTGAATCCTGAGTTAGTTAAAGGGCCTTGGTCTAAAGAGGTGATTGCTTTTGCTACTTTTCTCTCTCACAATTCTATGAGTTGCTTGCTGACAGAACAAACAGATTTTCTCGATAAACATTCTGAGTTGCTTTTGAGAAATTCAATCAGGAGGACGAACTAATAATCGAGCTGGTGAACAAATATGGGTCAAAAAAGTGGTCAACCATAGCTCAGCACTTACCTGGACGAATTGGAAAACAATGCAGAGAAAGGTGTGATGATAGAACTGTAAACTTTAATATTTTAATATCATTTACATTTAGAAATTTGGTATAGTCAAGGAGGGTTGTTTGAAACTTAGAATGTTACCTTTCTTAGGATGGTAACAACAACTGGACTTAGCCTGGTGGAATTGGTTTAATAATGTTGATTTTAACAATCTGTGAGAGGTTTTCACTCTTGAATATTATTGCAAACGTCTTGTTTTACGATTATGCTCTTACAACTAAGTTCTAATCCAGGTGGCATAATCATCTCAATCCTTCCATAAAGAAAATGGCATGGACTCAGGAAGAAGAGTTGGCTCTGATTCGTGCTCATCAGATATTTGGGAATAGATGGGCAGAGCTCTCAAAGTTATTGCCAGGAAGGTATGCCAACTTTTCAGAGAGGCCGCACCTTTACATCTACGTAATATCAAGATTACCTCTATTTGTCTCAGATTCATTTTACTTCCTCCTGTGACGGCAAGTCATCAGCTGATATTTGTCTAAAATCTAATGTTCTGTTAGATGTATATATATATTGCATTTCAACGTGATTTATTTCCATCTTTGTACTGGTAACAGGACAGACAATGCAATCAAAAATCACTGGAACAGTTCGATCAAAAAGAAATTGGACTCTTATATAGCATCAGGCATTCTAGAACAATTTCAATTCTCACTTCTTGCAAATCAAAGCAATCCTACAATTCAGAGCAATGTCGATGATAGTGCTGCTAAATTTAGGACAATAGCTGAGGACATATCAGAATGCAGTCAAGAGTCAGAGATGGTTAGGTGCTCTCAGTCTACAAGTGATTTCGCTAATGCTGCTGTTTATCTAGGAGAGCAATTCCACTTTACTGAAATGCCTGGTGTGGCAAAGGAGAAAAATTCCAGTCCAGCACCTTGTTCAGAAGAGTATTACCCATCTTTAGAAGATGAGAACTTCTCCATTCCCGAAATACCAAGTGAAGGTTGCTCTGCGAGTAGAGATTACCAGTTTGGTTTACCAGATTTTCCTAATATTTCTTCTCTGAACTTGGGGCAAGAATCATCAGGACCAAGTAACTGTTTAGACACCAGCAAAAGCCATGAAGTGATGAATATCGCATTTCAGTCTTCTATAGAATTAAATGCTCCTACACCTTTCATCAATACGGGTACATCATCAGACAAACAAGAACAAACGTTGATACCTGATGATGAATGCTGTAGTGTCCTATTCTCGAAGGCAGTGAATGATAGATGCTTTGCCTCGGAAAATTTTACACAAGGATCTAATATGGTTGAAATGGGTGGCTACACAAATGCATCACGTTCTCAGGCTTCAGACATCCAAATATCTGAAACGGGAAGAACTCCAGCCTTACAATCGAATTGTCCTTCAAGGTCTGAAGTATTGCCTACCTCATGCCGTCAATCTTTTGTGTCTCCTTCTCTCCTTTCAGTTGAGGATGGTACATATATGATTGGAGGTGACCCTTGTCAGTTAAAAGGTCAACATTTTGGAAATCAAGAGCAAGCATTTACTATGAATGCACATGATGACTTTATCTATACCAGTGATGATCATGCAGACAATACAGATCTGCAAGGGCAATCATACCTTGACAAGGATTCTCGGAAGTTGGTTCCAGTGAATACTTTTGGTTTAGAATCAGATGTAGTAGAAACTTGTCCTAGCGTGGAGGATAAGCCAACCTTTCCTGCAGAACAAGATGTTGGAGGTCTATGTTATGAGCCTCCTCGATTTCCAAGTTTGGATAATCCATTTTTCAGCTGTGACATTATACCCTCTGGCTGTGATATGCAGCCAGAATATAGTCCTCTTGGTATTCGCCAATTAATGATATCTACGAACTGCATCAGTCCATTTCGGTTGTGGGATTCACCGTCACGGGAAAATAGTCCTGATTCTCTGCTGAAAAGTGCTGCAAAAACATTTACTGGTACACCATCCATTTTGAAGAAGCGCCACCGTGATCTTTTATCACCTCTATCAGAGAGACCATGTGAGAAAAAACTGGAAACTGATATGGCATCCAATTTGACCCAAGATTTCTCTCGCTTGGATGTGATTTTCAATGATTGTGAGACTGGCAACATATCTCAAGTGTGCCCGTCTGAACATAAAACCAACTCCTGTGTCTCCACTGAAGAAAAAGAAAACCTATCGCAAGCATTTGATGAGGATAAACACAATGGTGGAGATCATACTGACTCTTTAAATGATGAAGCTCAGGAAAATGATTCTAATAGAACTAGTTCCCGTGAAATTCATACAAAGGACAAAACTGAAATTGATGCTTCGTACAAAATTGTGAGTTCTGCATATATACATATACGGACTGTTTCCTTTTGCAGTATTCTGTTGGAAATCTTGGTCTTAATTCCTCTGTCTTCATTTCAGTTATATTCCATTTTTGCATCTAATAGCGAATTGATTTATTATTATTTACTAATATTTTCCTCTACTCTTTTGACAGGTTCAACGTCCTGATGCTGTGCTTGTTGAGCGTAATTTAAATGATCCATTGTTGTTTTCTCCTGATCATGTTGGTCCTAAAGCAGGCAGATCATTTTTGTCTTCAAGCATACAAACTCCAAGAAACCGACATCATAAAAGCATAGGAAGCATATCAAATCAGGGTCTTGCTGATACTACAGTACAATGCACTGATTCGTCAGCAACTCTAGAGAATTTGGTTGATAATACTGAGAATAATGCTACTACCGAGAGTTATAATATGTAAGCTTATAACTGATCCCTACTGTTATCACATTGCTACATCGATTTTGTTGTTTCGCTACCCTGTTCAACTACTAGGATAAATAGGATTGCTTACAAATTTACTTGCTTGATGTGGGTTGGCAGATTTGGAGATACTCCATTCAAAAGAAGTATTGAATCGCCATCGGCATGGAAATCTCCTTGGTTTATCAACTCATTTGTTCCCGGCCCAAGAATTGACACAGGATTAACAATTGAGGTAAACTTGTGGTATAGATTTTCCGAACTTAAAAAACTCATTGGTTCCTAATATTGGGAATTTGTTTCCAGGACATGGGATATGTTATGAGCCCTGTGGAGAGAAGCTATGACGCCATTGGGTTGATGAAACAATTAAGTGAACATACTGCAGCTGCTTATGCTGATGCCTTGGAGGTTTTGGGAAACGAAACTCCGGAATCAATTATAAAAGGGAGAGGCATCAACAACCCTAATAACATGGACAAAGAGAATAGTCAGTCGGAGAACCATTCACATTTGGCTTCAAATATCTTGGTATTTACTTATAAACTATGCTTAACATCATCTTTTCTTCTCTCGTTTGTAAGAGCCGTTCGTTGAAACTGATTCGAAGATTTCGTTGCAGGTGGAGCGCAGGACACTTGATTTCAGTGAATGTGGAACACCAGGGAAGGGAACTGAAAATGTTAAGTCCTCAACAGCCATGAGTTTCTCAAGCCCCTCTTCCTATCTTTTGAAAGGTTTGAGATAGCTAAAAGCCCTCCAATGTTTGTAGTTTATATCATTTTTTTCTTGTGGGCGCTTTACAAAGTCTTAAAATTTGTTGTCTAAAGACAGAATGGATCTAATGAATTATATAGGGCTACTTTTGAAAATGATTTTGCTTAACCATTAGTTTGCACCTGCGGTATATGCAGTATGGTGTTTAAAAGTTCAAACGAAAAAATAGTGGTACATTCAAAATGTCATTTTTCCCATAAAAAAATATGTTTTGAATCATCTTAATACCGAAACCTTCAATCTTTTTAAAATCATACCTAAAGTTTGGTTTTTGTTTCATTTTATTATTCTTGTTCAAAATTTAACATTAAGCTTTGAAAAAAAATAATAATTTAAGTACTAAAAGGGACCAAAACTACAAATTTAAATACTAAACACATTAAATTTTTAACAGTGGAGTACTTAAATGAAACAAAAGCTAATCGTTAGGTATAGTTTTGAGAAAATTAAAAGTTTAAGTACTAAAACGGATCAAAACTGATAATTTAGGTACTAAATACATAGTTTACCCTAGAAACAATTCAAAAACCAGGATTAATAAAATCCTCTCCATGCTCGTGAAAGAATTAATATTTGCCTCTTAGCCGTGCGAGTAAAACTACACAAGATCAAACGCTAACAAAATTCAATTAATTAACAAAAGGGGAAGTAAAATGCCATATAAATTGGCATAAACTCCTGTCGAATAGTGAAACAAAAAGTAAAATAATCAACATAAATATGTCAAGTCCATGGCAAGATATGTAGGCAGCCAGTCTACTCCAGCTTTATCCGATCCATATCAGTTATCACTCCTTCAAGCTGTAATAGACAGTTGAAAAATATTACCCAGTTGAATATATATATATATATATATATCCTAATAAGATTGATTAATAATATGTGTATCATACCTTGACAATATGTCGCAGGAAGTAATCACCATATCTTTTAACTGGCTTGGATTCAACAACACGAATCGTGTCCTGCTTCAAAACAATGCAAATCATTACCTGCAATGCTAAAGAGAGCATCTCGACAAAAATTTTGCTAGAAAGCTAAAAAACTTAACCTACATCGTCAATGTAGAAATCCACATCAGCATTAGAGATAATCTTTCCATCAGAATTGACGGCTTGAGTTTTGTGCTTGTACGTAAACAAGATACTCCTAGATATGACACAAGGTCAGCACACAACAAATGAAGCAAACATTGAAATGAAAAAAAAGACCCGTTAAGAAGATTGAAAGAATTGTCAACCTCAGAGTGGGCTCATCCACTTCCATGTAACTTGCAAGCTTGACGAGAGATGTAGTTGAACACAGTTTAAGAAATGTACGGACACCTGATAAAAACTGTTGCTGCTTCCCTTCACATAGAAACAGCTTCAACTGAAGTCTGTAGGAATCCTGTGTGTAAGAGGGAAGCAGGTAAAAAAACTCGAAATATACATTGAAAGAAATGCGGGCCAAGATAAGAAGACGAAGCTTAACAACATGCCACCAAATAGCCGTTTACTTCCCTTATTCTCATGTGACGTAATCATGTATGTTGGATAACTAAAGGACTTTGGATGTAAATAAGGGAAGGAACACACATAAGTGATTCAATTAATGTACTTCCACCAAAATCATTCTTAAGATTACCTAAAAATGATAAAACCACTACCTGGTTGTAATTTACAAGGGGATCCTCAAAGCTAGGCGCTGATGGTGTGATGAACTTGGGACATGCATATGAGAAGAGCTCATCATAGATGGCAAAAACTTCATCATCATATCTTTGCATTCTAGCCATCTTTTCACCATACTCCTCTCGCAACTGAGAGTTCACAGTCTCCTCGACAAGTTTCGCTTGGGGGCAAAGTGAAAGACAAATTACCAGCAAGGCATACATCTGTTCATTCTTTTTCAGTATTTGTTCATACTGTGGAGATTTCTGATGATATTGCTTTGTCTTGTAAATGTACAAGAGAATCTTATTGAATTCCCGAATAGCCTCCACATACCTTTAATTAAGATTTATATGTCATTGTCAAGCTGAGTTTAAAAAGAGCTAATGTTGAAAATGAGAGTCACAATTTTTAAAATAACTTCCAAATAACTATCACTTCTTATTTACATGTAGGAAAAAGGTGAAAATTCACCTTGGAAAAAATAATATAGACAAATATTATTAGTTGCGACCACGAATGACGTGATGATATGGACTATCTAATAATTTATCCTAATACTAACACCAACAAAGCATGATATAAGCACACCATAACCATACGAATAACTTTTTTTTTGGAAAGAAAATTAATAACAACCAATCAGATGTTGTCACATGACACCTTCTGATTGATTTAAACGAAAGAAGAAATTAAACCAATACATGAAAACACCCCCATGAGATTTAAATTTGGATCCGGTGGAAGAAAGGTTTAGCACCTAACCACCGGGCAAGTCCTTGGTTTAATTTGTGTGCTTAATGGGAACTGAATCATTTTAGTATAAAAACTTTGAAGGTAAACTATGGCATCTAAATTATCAGTTTTTGATCCATTTTAATATTTAAACTTTTAATTTTTTTTTAAATTATATTTAACGTTTAATTTTTATTTTATCTTAGTACTCCATTGTTAAAAACTTAACACATTTAGTACCTAAACTATCAATTTTGATCCGTTTTAGTACCTAAACTTTCAACGAAATCAAAACTTAACATTAAGTTTTTAGTTGGGTACTAAAACGAAATAAAAACTAAACTTTAGGTATGATTTTAATAAAATTGAAAGTTTAGGTACTAAAACGGATAAAAACTAATCGTTTAAATACTAAATGCATAATTTACCGTAACTTTGAATTGTCCTTTTCTACCGTTGATGAATATTTTAAGTGTGTTGATTGATGAATGGGTCGGTAAAGTACCCAAGCTATACACAAATGTGCAGTTAGAAAGTAAAAACCCATACCGGTCTTTCTTGACTAAGGGCTGAAAACACAAAATGACAATGCCCCCTGGCCCTGAGTGTAAATTTATTCACGCAAGCTATGAAATTCATCTACGACCAAGACTGCAAAAATCAGCCGGACATCACAATCGTCACCGCAGTTAAAAACTCTACAGATTTCGAGCTATCGGTCGAACGGGGAACCTTTAGCTAGAGCTCTCCCCATACTCTGAAATTGAAGAGAATTAATGGAACTTCTCCCACCTGAAAGATCTGTAATACTGGTACATGTTATCTTAGGCGCATCATAACAACTCTCGGTTTAGCCTTGTTCATCAGATGATAGGAGGGATGATCACATCTATGGTTTGAAGCCTTCATTAAGACAACTTTCCACATCTGAGGTGACTTCCAAGGGGTTAGACTCTGGCATTTCTAAACCAAAGTTCGACTACAGAATTCTCCTTCATCGAGAATTACAGCTGCTTTCCTTCTTAGGAGGATGGCAGTTCCCCCATATAGAATCACAAGCCCCCACACAGCAATCTCATAGCACCAGAACAAGGGCAAAGAGCAGCTGCTCCCCAGAGTGAGGAGGCTTGAACCCAAAAACAAAGCGAGAACACCGAAGATGATAGCGAAAACTGCATTCAAAATAGACAGGCAGCGAACTCCTCCTGCAGATTTCAATATGGCAGTTCAACATCCACTTAAGTCTATAAAACGAGAAAAAGAAATGAGAAACAGGGCATACCTCTTTTGGAAGCACAATAATCATTCTCAACCATCTTCAAACATCCATGCCTATCAGGAGCAGAATAAGCAACAGCAATTCCTGAATCAAATGACAGGCCAGGATACATGAACTCAAAGGAAAAATGACAAGGAAAATTAAACACATACAAGAAAACACAAAGACCCAACATCAAAGCGACTCCCAAAATAGTTCAGCTTTAGATCAACTGCCATATAAAGGGATTACAAAGTAGTATATGTTTAGAATCTTTCTTAACTATTGACAACGCATACAACCTACAGATGCAGCTGCTCGAACCCAAGACCTCTAAGGAGAAAAACACTCCCTTTTCGCTTAACAGGGTTCAATATTACAAGACCAGACACAAGTTAACCAGTATTCATGCAAAGCATATACCATAGAAGCAACGACTAATGCAAGAAGCTAGCCAAATTGACATAGATAATGTATATTAACCATACACCACAGGGAGGGTAATTTATACCAATGCGAGATTCAATGCTAGCCAAGGATCAATTTATTTCAAGAATACTAAACCTGACAACCAATAAGATCCTCCCATGCCATTGAGCGGGTCAAATAAGAAGCTTAATTTCCATATCATTGCCTAACAAATACATGGCATATATATTCCCTCTCAATTTGTAAATACAGGGAAAGACATCTTCAAATTTCATATCATGATGCCATCAACATTCTCCACTCTAATTCCAGATTCAAAGTCATTTCCATAACTTTGCCTTTTTACGATGAGCAACTCTGTAATAGAGCTCAATAGTAAGCTAAAATTCACTAGAAGGAAACGAAGCACAAATAATAGAGCTTTTGACTAACCGGTCACGAGATATGCAGCGGAAGCTAAGAAAATGACCATAGATGGAACGAACAAAACCATCCAATAGTAATCCACAGTTTCTTGATCAGTCCGGTGACTCCTCCTTCCACATTCAACGGCATAGGCTGCAGTCTCCAGTCGTGGCAAAATGGTCGCTTCAAAACATCTTCTGGAAACACAATCTTGAAGCTTATAGTAGTGCAAACGAAGACGGCGAGACAAATGATCCCTATTGAACTTATTAAGATCGGTCTTTGTAGCCTCATCCAAACTTTGTCTTCCTCCCGTTGGCTCTCGTGCTCGTGCTTCGGCATAAACGCTTGCAGTAGCGCGTCAGCTATATTCGCCATGGAATCTTTTCTTTGAGGGCCCTACCTACCTAAGTAGGAATTCAAAATAGGTTAATTTTGATCAAGTGTTTTATTAATCTGTAGATTTTCCTCAAACAGTGAGAAGTGTACAGTATAGGATTAAAACCTAATTGTGTATTTTGAAATGAAAAAGATAGACCCAACTTTCCAATGAACATGGGAACAGATTGATTGCAAGTTTACTGACCTAGGGTTTTAAATTTGGGTTCTTGAATCAGAGCTGGATAGGGGGAGGCCGGCAGTGACGACAAATTTCTTCTAAATTTTATTTTATATAAAAATGACATTAGAAATAATTTTTTAAAATATAAATATAATATATTTTTTGTTTAAACTAAGATCGATAATATATTCGAATAGATATGTCTGCAAGAGATATATATATCAATGATTAAAAAATATTTCAAACAAATATTATCTTCGAATATTATCTTATAATTACTTTAAATTATTAAAAAAATAAAAATAATACCGATATAATTATAATCTATTATCATACTGAAAGGATAAAATTGAACACATGAAATTAATCACCTACATTCTTTATTTGAATTGATAATTTTTTAATAAGAATAATCAATGTATAATGATAAAATTACCCTCTAATGTTTATACGAATAATTAATTTGACTCATGTTCTTTTTTAACATTTTAGTTCTAACGTTTTATTTTTTGGTCGAAATATCTCATATTAGGAGGAAACCAATAGTTCACTAACAACTAACACATTTTATTACATGACATTTTTATATGTGTTTAATTAATGATGTGAACATATTACGTCATTAATTTAGGTGACATGATACATGTCATATCATTATTTTAATAATGTGACAAATATCACACCAATAATTAAACATATGTAAAAATATCATATTATTATGAATGTATTGATCTTAAATCAACTAATAATTTCTTTCTGATAAGAATATTTTAACTAAAAATTAAAATATTAAAATTAAAATAATCTAAAAATAAAAATTATATAAAACATATATTTCAAAAAAGTAATAATATATCATGTTAAACATATATTTCAAAAAATGTTACTGATAAAATATACTTTTATTTTATGTGATAAATATAATACAAAAATAATATATTTATAAATAATTTTTGAAATAATAAATTAATCACCATTTATTTACTCTAAAATGTTTTGAGTCGCAACTTAGAAGAAAACCGACCCGTCTTTTAATTGGTCGGTGAAGAAAAGAGCGGGAGTAGTTCGTTCAAAGTTCGCTATGCCAGAAACGATGTCGTGCATCGTCACAAATCGCCCGCACGAAATACCAGGTCCAGTAAACTATAAAAACCGTACGATGTAAGCGGTTAGCAAAATTATCGGTATCTACAACTGACACGTGTACTGGCCAAAAAGCAAGCCTCCGCTTAATAAAACGTGGTTTGTTTTGATTGGTCTATCCTTTTCCGATGAAAAAGGTTTAAAAAAAGAGAAGAAAGGAAAAAAAATCTGTTATCAAAAGGAGAGAATTAAAGCTGCCGATTTTTGTACTGTTTGATTTATTTTTACAAGAAGAAAGTTTCGTCGAAGGACTCTTCGGATTATTCTGCATTTCGTTGAGATCTCTCCGAGCGGTGACCGGCGTTGAATTCCTCTTTTTGTTTCTTCGTGAGCGAAGATGGTGAAGACTATGGTGGAGGGAGCGACGAGCGACTTCCTGGTCGGTCCTGATTGGGCCAAGAATATCGAGATCTGCGATACACTCAATAACGAACCCGGGTATGAGTTGCACCGGAATCCAATTTTTCTCGTCTCTTTTTGACAAGTCGTTATACTTATTGCTCACCTGATTCAATGGATGATCGGTTTCGATTTTATCATAAATAATGTAACCGGAGATTGTGAATTTTGCGTTCTTTCTTATTTCCGTACGCGGTTTACTTTTAACTGCATTTCTTATTAAGTCGATGCTAATTGGATAAATTTCTTTTATCGCACGTAAATTTAGTAGTAGAAAATAGGTTTAGTAAGCTTATCAGGGTTGATTAGCTTGCTTTTGTATTTTTCTTTGTTCAACATGTGATTGTAATTCGTGGACGTATGTGATAACATTGCACAAAAGATGGCTTTTGTTTATATATAGAGGATATAGTTTCATGCCGTAATAGACCGGTGTTTGAGACTCGGCTACTTTTCTCTAAGTTAAAAGATTACCATGTGCTAATGATTTGTTGACTGTGACTTGATCATCCTAATTATTTCTCAGAGGCGAACTCGATTTTAGTTACTTTCACATGACCAGCGTAAATGTTTGTCATTTTTTCTGGTTGCTAGTTACGGTGTTCAAGTTAAGTTTTATGCTACTGTTTTTCTATATTATTTCTGGTAATTCTTTCGGGGTTGACTTTTAGTTAATGTAAATTATTGTCAAAGCAAAGGGTTAGTTCCTATTTGATGGTTATTTGATTAATGCTGGTTTTCTTTTCCAATTTTCTACCTCCAGGAGAATGAGGTTTGAATCTAGCTGCTTAAATTACATTTTAAGCTAGTTTTTTTTTTCTTTTGTGATGATCTAAATCAAGTCTTTAAATATGTATTTCTCAGACAAGTGAAAGATGTTATTAAAGGCATTAAAAAGAAGCTTGGAAGTAAAAAATCTAAAGTTCAACTTCTTGTACTAACAGTAAGATCTTAACCAACTTTTTATATTGATTTTTACTAATCCCTAGATATAAATCATCGCTTATGTTGTTTCTTTTTATCAATTTTCTCTTACAAGCTTTAAATTTTATCTACTGCCAATGATCTAGCTACTAGAGACTATCGTAAAAAACTGTGGGGAGATTGTCCATATGCATGTTGCTGAGAGAGGTATTCTTCAAGACATGGTCAGAATAGTCAAGAAAAAGGTATGAAATACATAATTTTCAACTCTCATTTTCAATACATTTTCTTCTGGCAAAACTTGTTATCAGCTTTTGTACTGGTTAATTGTAGCCCGACTTTTATGTCAAAGAGAAGATACTGACTCTGATCGACACTTGGCAAGAAGCATTCGGAGGAGCAAGGGCAAGATATCCACAATATTTTGTTGCATACCAAGACTTGTTGGTATGTCTGTTGATGGCTCTCATCAGTAACCGTAGAAGACGTGCTTTTTTGGGATTTTTTCCTCCTGTTATATATCCTTGACTTGTCTTAAAAAATGCTGTTCTGCTAGTACTGGTTTTACATAATGTGGCCTTCTCCCCTTTTCTTCTATGAGCCAAACTGATTTATTGTGTCAGCGTGCTGGGTCAGTATTCCCCCCGAGATCTGAGAGGTCTTCACCTGTTTTTACTCCTCCTCAAACAAAGCCGTTGTCTTCTTATCCCCCAAACATTCAAAATTCTGATCGGCAAGAGATGACCCAGTCTTCTGAAGAGTCGGAGTTCCCAACCCTGAGGTATTTATGTTGCTCCTCACTTATTTGTGTGGTAACCGCTTGTTAATTTTTGTCTTTTCCGTTATTCCTATTCAGTTCTATCATGGTTTTTTCTTCTTTTTTAAACCTTCCTCATCGATGATGTCGTTGTAAAAATTGTATCGCAGTAATCTGTTTAAGTGAAAGTCTGCAGCTCATAATAAATTCTTATTATCATTATCTGATAAATAAATTGCAAAGCCTTATTGAGTTATCATAAAGTGGGTTTTCATTAATAAGGATACTATTCCATTCTATTTGGTGCCCGGAGTTTTTTTTTTTAGAGAGATCAAGTGAGTTGGTGAAAATTTTCCTACATTTTTTAATTTCTCAATTTTGGTCAGCAGTGCTCCCTGTCTTTATCTAGTAATGTCACACCGATTATTAATCTTTTCGCTAGATAAAGCATTTGGGACTTACGAACTAGAGCCATATAGAGTTGTAAAATGTGGAGTATTTTTCGTCATATTATTGATAGCGACCTTTTATTGCTAATTCACCATTTCCATATAATTTTAATATTTTATCATTGATCATGCGTCTAATCTTCTTTTAACTGGAGTTTCATTTATTAGTTTGACAGAAATTCAGAAGGCGCGGGGCATTGTGGATGTCCTTGCACAAATGCTAAATGCTTTAGCTCCTGGAAACAAGGAGGTATGTTCCTCAATTAGAAATAGAGAAGAGGATGATATTTTGTTTAGCTGGTAAAACGATATTTCACATTAGCTTACTAACGTAGTTTCCCCGCGTCAAATCATTAAGTGATTTAAAGTGACCACTGAAGTCTTGATATAACTGACATTTATGTAATAATTTGGTTGTAAATGCTCAAATCTATCAGTATGTGAGCCAGTTTTTCAGTGTAAACTTCATATCTTTTCCCGCTCTATTTAAAGTGGTACTCAACTCTTGATATAACTGACGTGTAATAATTTGGTTGTAAATGCTCGAATCCATCATTATGTGAGCCAATTTTTCAATTTAAAATTCATGTTTTCCCAGCTCTTACTGTTAAAAATATCTGTTCAAAAGTACATGAAGTTTCACGCTGCTAAACCTAGTCCAATCTTGTAAGGAATTTGTGTTTTCTTTTATGTTCATTTTCTATTAGCTTATTTAGTCTGCAATTTCAGGGTCTAAAGCAGGACGTTATTGTTGACTTAGTTGACCAGTGCCGTACTTACAAACTAAGAATTGTTCACCTTGTCAATTCCACATCGTAAGGATCCTCTCTTTTACTATAACTTCTACATATAGGACATATTACCTTTTATTCTTTATCTCTTGTAGGGATGAGTCACTTCTATGTCAAGGTTTAGCATTGAATGATGATTTGCAGCGAGTACTGGCAAAACACGAAGAATTAGCTTCAGGAAGTTATTCTCAAGCAGACATAACTAAGCATGAACCTGTAAATGTCAATGGTTCCCTACTTGATTCTGGGAATAGCAGCCAGCAGTCTGATGGGAGGTAATAGGCTTATTTGAACTATCTTCACATATGCAGGGATGTGATAACTAGAAGTCTAAAATATTGTTTTTTGCATAACTACAAAAAATGATAGAATGATATATGCTGAATTATCCTTCTTGTCCTAAGCATTGCTGATGCTAACTAATCATGTTATTGTCCTCAGATGCTTGACAATGCTGAAGGGGGAAACTTTATCAGGATTCTTAGATCTAGTGATTAGTAGTGTATCTCTCTGTCAGGAGTAACTAAAATTGCTTACCCAAATTTAGGTTGCTGGGATTTACGTTGAAACTCATTTAATGCTGGGTTATCTGACACCCTTGAGCTCACTAACAAGATTTCTTAACAGATCTATCTCAAACACTGGTGCAAGTTCTAAACCATTTAATCAGTCATTGCTTCCTGCTTCTACTCCTTCTGCAACTAATGGTTCAACTCTTCCGGCAGCAGTTGGCCCCAAGATAGACCTGCTTAGTGGTGACGACTACAATTCACCGAAGGCAGATACACTGGCCCTTGTTCCTTTGGGAGAACCCCAACAAACAAGTCCTGCATCACAGCAGAATGCCCTTGTTCTCATTGATATGTTCTCTGATGGTAACAACTCTGCTTCTGCTAGAGCCCAATCTTCAGATTCAGCTAGACAAACCAATCGTTTGACTCCTCAAGGTCAGCAGCTGCAACAACAACAAAATTTTCATGCGAATGGAACTGTACCAAACACGGGATTGCCTCGATACGAGCAGTCATATGCTCAATGTACACGTCCTGCCTGGAATGGCCAAATGGTTCAGCAGCAGCAAAATTTTCCTGCGAATGGAGCTGTACCAAACATGGGATCACCTGGATATGAGCAGTCATATGCTCAAGGCACAGGTCCTTCCTGGAATGGACAGATGGTTCAGCAGCAGCAGAATTTCCATGGAAATGGAACTGTATCAAACTTGGGATCACCTCGCTATGAGCAGACATGTTCTCAAGGCACAAGTCCTGCCTGGAGCGGCCAACTGGTTCAGCAGCAGTCACAGGATTTTCATGCCAATGGAACTGTGTCAAGCATGGGATCACCTCGTTATGAGCAGACATGTGATCAAGGCTCAAGTCCTGCCTGGAGTGGCCAGCTGGTTCAGCAGCAGCCGCATAATTTTCAAGCAAATGGAACCATATCAAACATAGGATCACCTCGATATGAGCAGTTATGCACTCAAGGCACAACTCCTGCCTGGAATGGCCATCTGGTTCAGCAGCAGAAGCCCCTCTCACCTATCTATGGTTTGTTTCTGTCTATAATAGGCTTTTTTCTGCGGAAAATAGCTTACCGTACTTCTGTTACAGAACCCTCTTGTTTTCAGGAAGTCACTCTTAGCATGCCACACTTCACTCTAGGAAACCATTAATTACTATGTCATGGTCTCACTCGCTCAAAATTCATGTAGATTATATCTAGACTTCCTTGTCCGGCTTAATAATTATATTATTGCTGCTAATAATACTTTTTGCACGTTGAGAAGGTGCCCAGAGTAGTGGCTCACTGCCACCACCACCATGGGAAGCACAAGCAGCAGACCGTAGCCCCGTCGCAGGTTCACAGTATCCCCAGTCGGTGGTTACTCAAGTTGTCGTAACACATAACCTACCTCTAGGACCTCAGCATACGGGAAGTGATCATGTGGTGGGTATGTATATTCAGCCAATCACAAGCGGTAATCTGTCAGCAATCAACAACCAAGCTGCTGCTGCCGGCAACCAGTTTTGTGGCTTTCATCCCCAACTGAACCAGGGAGCACAGTATATGGGCATACATCCACAACAAATGCCAACTAACCAGATGGCTTCATTGTATCCCCAACAAATGATGTATGGCAACCAAATGGGAGCATATGGGTATGGGGAGCTACAGTATATTGATCAGAAAATGGATGCGTTATCCATCAGAGATGACAGCAGCAGCCTGAGAAACTCAGCCTACCAGGTCCCAACTTCATCATATGTCCCACCAGGCAAGCCTTCAAAAGCAGAGGATAAGCTGTTGTTTGGAGACCTTGTTGACATGGCCAATATTAAATCAATAAACACCGCTTCTGGAAGAGCTTGGTAGCATGTTTGTTTTTTTCCTCCCGTTCATTTTTCTTTTCGTTTATATTATTTCATTTGGTAACTAATATTTGTTTCTTATTTTCTTTCTTTCCTATTCTTAAATAATATATATGTTCACCAATCTCTTGACTTGTATTTGCGTTGGATTCATGTATATTCCCTGCAGAAAAAAATAGAAAGATCCAACTTCTCGTTGCGTCTCTCTTTATTACTAGCACAAACGGATACAGAAGTTTATGTCAGATTTACGAACTTAAAAAAGTATATAAAAAAATTTAGGAAGTGTAAAAAAAAAAATTAAAACATAAGAGAATTTAAAAATTTTAAGGAGTGTGAAGCACTCCTAACCCCTCACCGATCCATCCGTGCTTTATACCATTATAAAGATTCCTTCAAAAAAAAAATTAACTCTCCACCTTGACCCTTTATTTAAAGTGAATGAAGATCTGGAAAATGTCTTTTTCATCTTTCGAACTGAAGTTCTGCGTAGGTGTGATTCTTTGATCAAGTCGAATAATTTTTTTTTTGAGTTATTAAAATTGATGAGTTCTGTTTTATAATTCAAATTTGATTTGTTTTTTGAGTCAAGTCAAGTTTCTAAAATTCGAATTGAGTCGAGTTTTTTGAATTTCCGTTTAAATTTAATCATAAATATTTATAATATTATGATATGATTTGTTTCCAATTTAAATGATTTTTTATAATGAGATACAATACATTTATATTATTTCATATATTATAAACTTGACTTGTATATCATATACATGCATATTATTTCATATTAATATGATATACATGTATTATACAGATTGGAGGGACTCGACTCAAACGTGAAAATTAATTCACTAATTATTAAAATTTCGAGTTATTCAAGTTACTTTTTCGATTTGCGTTTTGCACTTGAAATTTTTTCTAGTCGAATTAAAAAAATTGATTTTCCGATATGAGTCTTGCTCACTATCTCCATTAGAAGAACACTGTCTCCAGTGCCTCGACAGTCGACAGGGGAGTTCAATGACTAGGGAGGCTGAACGTTCAGTTCCTTCTCCTTTTTCCAAGTCTTCATCATATAGTCAGAAATCAGAATTCCCCAGCCACTGTTGGATTGCCATCGTTACTCCTATAATATTTGTAAAGATAGTTATTTTTTTAATTTTCCATTCGACAACGAAGTGTCGATATGTCCGAGTGGTTAAGGAGACAGACTCGAAATCTGTTGGGCATTGCCTGCGCAGGTTCGAATCCTGCTGTCGACGCCTAGTTATACTTTTTTCTCCATTATTTTTGGTTCCACCACCTCGGTTTATTTCTCCCGTCTTTTTATACAAAATATAGATCGGTGGTGGCTTATATAAAATGAGTGTAAACCATATTCAAATACTCTCTATTCCCATATTAATTAGCTATATCGGGAAAGATAATTGTCAGACCAGAACTTCACATGGTTTGTTTCCAGCCGTGCACAAAAGCAACTTCTTTTCAGACCCTTATTCAGTTTGCCAGGAAAAAAATATACACACCTTTCTGCTCCAAAATATTTTGATTCCAACGATACAAATGACCATGCTCACCGAGCAGGAATAAGAAAGCAGTAAACAAAATATTAGTGGGATACAATGCAGAGTCTTAGTACAAAGAACAGGCAAAACTGTTACAAATAAACTTTATCAGTACGTGTGCAAAAGATTAATGCGTTTAGGTAAGGGTGACCCCATTGAGCCCGGAAAGCTGTAGTGCTTCTTCTACTTTTGTGTTTTGGATGACAGATCAAATATCTCTGGGCCATGCTTTGTATTTGCCTCTAGATATATGTTTAGAAAGTGTTTGAGTTATAATATGGCGCAAATGAATCGGGTTTGAACAAATAAAGTATTGATGTTCGTTTAGGGTTTAGGAACATGATCATTTATATGGTTAGAAATAGTGAAATTATACCACCAAAATTCACTCTATGTACAATTCAGTTATTACCTTCACCAATATATATATACATATATAACGAGATAAATAAGCTATAAACGTGTTGATAACGAGTCAATAAATGAATTTGTTTTTTAACATAAAAAATCAAATATACTTTTACTCGTGTTTATTTATTTATTTATACTCATTTGTTGAATTAAATAAACGAGTATTACATAATCATATAATTTATCCAACATTCTATCCTTGCACTCTAGATTATAACAAGATGGATATACAAAAATGAGCGTGTGAGAGAGGGCCCTCGGCACTAGCTTTGGCCACTGATAATGGTGACAAAAAAGAACTCGGGTAATAATGATTTATGCCTATGCCGCTCAATAAAAAATTCCTTTGCTCTCTTTATAATGTTAGATGTTAAAACGGACTAAAATTGATAATCTATATATTAAATGGGTTACGTATTTAATGGTGGGTATGAAAATGAAAAAAAAAAACATTAGGGTGTGATTTTCAAAATTATTAAAATTCTAAGTATTAAAACCGATTAAAATTAATAATTTAGTTATTAAATGGGTAATTTACTCTAACATGTAAAGCTGAAATACAGGAATCTGAGTACAAAGATGACGTGCATTTAATGGGGGGAGCCTGCCCAGATTCCAGTACAACAGAATATTTCCAGATTCCCAATAAAGGAAAACCATTCACTTCCAATTATAAATGCCGACCTGTTTCTTTATCTTCCTTGTCTTCTTCTTGCTGTGTTTGTTGGAATCCAAGTCTCAGATTAAGTACTGAAGAAGAAGACAAGTTTAAAAGTAAGAATTTTAACTATCATTACTATAAAGGTTTTTACTGTTTATAGAGTGGTTTGCTTTTTGGTGCTAGTGAGTTCATGCAGTGTAAGAAGCTCGTCGATGAAGCTGGAGAACATAGATGAGGATGATCCTCCATCGTGGTTGCAACTGTCTTGCCCTCTTCCTGAAACTCCTACAGAATCAATGGAGTATCTTGCAAGATCATGGAGTCTTTCGGCTATGGAAATCTCCAAGGCACTTTCCCAGACGCGTGTATCGGCTTCAAACGCCACGTCATCATCGTCTTCTTCATTTGGAAATATCGAAACAGATGATTCGAGCTCCACTGGTTCAAGGCAATCCGTAAGGATCAAGATTTAAGACTGTTCATCCTATCTGTTTTCACTGTATCTTCTTGTTGTTCAATCCCGTCTTTTTTTGCCGATTTGAAGGTCTGCAGGAGCATTGTAAGAGGGACAAAGATGGGGAAACGGTTCAAGGACCAGAAGGAGAGGAAGAAGCAAGAGATCAGAGCACATAACGCACAACTTCATGCGGCCGTGTCGGTGGCGGGAGTTGCGGCCGCCGTCGCAGCGCTCGCGGCATCTAGAGCTATGTTACCGGAAATGGAAACGGTGTCGTCTAGAGTATCGAGTGCTATCGCGTCCGCGGCCGCTCTGGTCGCTTCCCACTGCATTGAGATTGCAGGGGACATGGGAGCTGATCATGACCAATTGTTAACAGTGGTCAGCTCTACTATGAATGCGAGAACAAGTGGTGATGTAATGACCCTAACAGCCGGAGCAGCCACAGGTTGTTCAAATTGCTTCTGAATTCCCTCATCTGAATCGAAAATAACATCAATAGTCTCGTATATGAATCGATTTCGGAGGACAGTTGACTTAATTCTAATTACGAATCGATGCAGCCTTGCGAGGAGCTGCCACCTTAAGGGCAAGGCTGCGAAAGACCGGGACTCTAGCTCTCGGTGAAGACAGCAATGGCCAGACAACAGCGGTGAACTTCGTTGCAACCGGGGGAGAACTACTCAAGCGTACAAGGAAAGGTACATTTTCCCGATTTCGATGTATCGAATCTTCGATCTTTATCGGCCAGTGACAAAATATTACATCTCGTTACCATTGATTTTATGTTGATTGCAGGAGCTTTACATTGGAAGCAAGTTTCTTTCTATATAAACTCTAACTGGCAGGTACAAAATCCAATTACTTATAACCCAAGTTTCTTTCTATATAAACTCTAACTGGCAGGTACGAAATCCAATTACGTGTGATCCAAGTTTCTTCAATCTTGCCCTTTAAAATGCATACTATTCTGTGCTTGTCGTCTGAGAACGATCATAACCCTTTACCGAAAACAGGTGGTGGTTAAACTGAAAAGCAAGCACATGGGAGGCACCTACACTAAAAAGAAGAAGCGTAAGCTCAACCTCATCGGCCTCGTACTAGAGATTAATCGATTCTCTTAAGCCCGCCGTGTTAACCGAGTTTACACTGTGGTTTACAGGCGAGATCTTGGGAGTCCATGACGGCATCCCGGCATGGCCGCGACGGGAGAAAGAAGACAATGCTGAACAGAGAGCTTATTTTGGGATTAAAACTGCAGAGAGGGTAATAGAATTCGAGTGCACAAGTCGAAGCGACAAGCAGATGTGGACGGATGGGATTCGACATATGTTGGCTTATCGTAAAAATATGGCCTATTTCTGAGAAAGACTTGTTTGGATTGATGGAAAATTTTGGCTAGATTTTCTTTTCTAGTAAAGTAATCATGTTGGAATTGTATGTCTGATTCCTCACGAACTTAGCTGAGGGAGGCCATTGCAATGTTCCATGTTTGAGGCTTTTAATTGCCTTGTGATCATTGTAATTGTGATTCTGTTTTAAATTAAAAAAATAAAAGATTTAATTTCAATGATTATAAAACTATTAGGGACTTGAAACAGGATTGGACCATATAATTCACAAAGTAGTAATGGTCTGAACTTTGCAATGAAGTCCTCGTAGATTGAATGGGTAATAGATTTGCCTCGAGACTCGGGGCAAGTAACTGAGGGAAACATCGGCTCATAAAGGGTAAATTGTGTTTTTAGTATATAAACTATCAATTTTTTCAATTTTTTAAAGTCATACCTAAAGTTTAGTTTTTGTTTCATTTTAGTACCCTCCATTTAAAACTTTAGTTTTTGTTTCATTTTAGTACCCCGTTCAAAATTTAACATTAAGTTTTGAAAAATTAAAAGTTTAAGTACTAAAATGGATCAAAATTGATAGTTTAGATACTAAACGTATTAAGTTTTTATGGCGGGTACTAAAATTAAATGAAAACTAAATTTTAAGTATGACATGAGAACTAATAGCATAGATACTAAATATATAGTTTACCCGCTCATAAATCCCCGCAACGATAATGAAATTTGTAACAAAACTAAAGAAAAAGGGTCTTTAGTCTTTACTATAATTTGGACATGTTGCACAATCGAGTAACCTTAGTAGTAAAATAATTATTGTTATTCCTTGAGATCCTGGACTCGAGCATAGAAATGTCAAGGGTGTGAGCATTTAATATCGAATAATTGAGATTTATCTCTAAATATATACCGCCCCTTATACTTATCTCATATTAATAAAAAAAAGAAAAGCCTGAACATGCTGTCTATTAAACCAAAGATTAACACTTCACCTCTTTTTGTTAATATTTATAACGGTTCTCCAATATTTACTGTTTTGAACTCGATTTTTTTAATGTTTATTATTGGGATATTATCTTATAATTTATTTATTTTTTTAATATTTACATAAATGTTCAATTTTTTGTCAATACTTTTTTCTAACATTTGCTATTAAAAGTTCATTTTTTTCAATATTTATTCTCATGTGTTCATTTTTTAATATTTGTTATTAGAGGTATACTTTTAAAATTCGAATTATTTTCTAATATTTATTTGTTATTATTAGTCTAATTTTTCAGTACTTTTATTATAGGTCTAATTTTTTTCGATATTTGTTATTATGAGCATAACTTAAAATTATTTTTTTAAGATTTGTTAATAGGGACCTGTTTTTTTCAGTACTTGGTATTAACTTGTTATGGAATTCCTTAAAAATTATCTTTTCAACACTATTTATCAAGAGCAATTACTTAAATAACGGTATCCACAATTGTTATGTCCACAATAACATATATTATTAAAATTCACAACCATGATATTTGCATTGACCACGATATCATCTGTCGTATCCGTAATATCGATAAACACAACGCAGCTGAAGATACAAATGCAAACTATAATTTAGGTCTCTAATTAGGAGCCTAATTTTTTAATTCGCTCAAAAACTACCAAAATCCCTTATTAGGGGTCTCTCTTATAATTTATTTTTTTCTAATATTTGTGTAAGTGTCCAATTTTTTGTCAATATTTTTTCTAAACATTTGTTATTAAAGGTCCAATTTTTAATACTTATTATGAGGGATCCAATTTTTGCAACATTTATTATTAGGGTCATACTTTTAAAATTCACTTTTTCTAATATTTATTTTTCATTATTTTTATAATATTTATTTATTATTATGACTCTAATTTTTCAGTATATTTATTAAAGATCTGTTTTATTTTAATATTTCTTATTATGAGCATACTCTTTTTTTAACTATTTATTATTTGGGGTCTATTTTCTTCCATATTTGTTATCATGGAGTTACCCTTAAAGTTTATTTTTTCAACACTTGTTATTAGGAACAATTACTTAATTAACGGTATGTAACTACAACAATTATCGTTATGCAATGATAAAAATATCGTCCGAAATCATAATATTCATAATCATTATGTCCAGAATAATATATATTATAAAAAATTCACAACTACGATATTTGTTGTTAAAAGACACAACACAAATTGTAATTGTAGTATCGTGATAATCTTAAAAAACATTATGATAGGGGCCTTTACAATACCTTAATGCTATGAATTATTGACACTCGAAGGAGCTGATTAAAGAAGATGTATTATACCAACAATTAGTTGGTTTTATGGGATGAGACTTTAGATCCTTTAAGTAAGGTTAGAGTTTCAAATCGTGACGATTGTAAATGGAGTAAATTGGATTGGGAGGGTCGCCCTTGCCCTTGCCTATGTAGTACCTGATATGAATTAATTGATTAATAGATCGAATACCGATGGTTAAAAAAAGGCATTCTGATCGGAGGGTCCAAAGCACCAACTCACAGAGACACCAAAGGCCGCAAAATGCCTGGGTGTCGGACAAGAATATGGTTGTCCCTTTTTCCCATATGTATGGGGTAAGGGGGAGGTAAAATAGTAGGCTATCCCCAACACCAGATTGAGAGCAGCTTCCGTAAGAGACCTCCGAATTATGAAATGCCCTCCGTGGGTAAATGCTATTATTTCCCTGCTTCAATTCATTTTAACCAATCCACTTACATACGTAAGATTGTAATGTTTTGACATTGATGATTGTTGTCTCAACATTTAATATTTTTTTATTTTCAAAGTATTTAAATAACATAAGAGGTAAATCCCATGGAGAAAAAAGCAAGAACCCTAAACAGTAAAAAGAAGGCCAAACATACGTGAAAATAATCGGATACAGTTAAGTATAACCCTAGCAAACGAAAATAATCCGAGGGGAAAGTTTTTTTTTTTATTAATATAGGATGAACACAAGATAATATCTATTTAAATATATGTAACTTATGGTGATCGAACTCGGATTTTTAAAAAAAATAATTCATTTATTATGAAAGTTATTTGGTTCGTGCAATAGGGGAAGTTCCAATGGAGAAATGGAGACAGGAAGCAAATAATGGAATTCGGTGGTGAAGAAGAAGAAGACGAAATTAATGGAGGTTGCGTGGTAGTAGAGACAAGGACCCCATTGAAACATAGGGTGTAGCAGGGTGACCCATTTCTTTTGTGGGTCATTATGAGTTGCGTAAACGAGTTTAGTCGAGTTTGAGTATTACTGAGATCGACTCGATTTGAAAACTCTGAAATGAAGCTCGACTCGATTCGAAAACTCGCGAGTTTAAAATTTTTAAACTCAACTCGAAATCTTAAACTAAAGCTCGTGACCAACTTGCAAAGGCTCGAAATGATAAAAAGTCTTAAAATTAAATTGATTGAATCTTCAAACTCAAATTTAAATCTGAATCTTAAATACATAAAAATCTTATTATATTTTTTATTAAAAAAATTAATACATAAATACTAATATTATTTCTAATTTATTTAAAAAAAATAAAATTTTAATATATTATATTTTAGAGATAATTACGGGATTTTCGAAATGAATATGAAGGTCATTATAGCCTACTCTTTATAGCCTATAACCTTTCTTTCTCAATGTTTACAAGTGTTGTGAGTCATTGGGAAATGATGTACAGAAAAATAAAACTATGGTTTTTTATCTCATAAAACATTAGCTCAAAATTAGTCTCTCATGGCGTAAGGCTACCACCTTCCCTTCTTCAATCTAATTTCTTTGCTCTCCCAGATTCATCACTGTCACTTCAATTTACTCTGTTTCTGCTAGCCTGCCTGCTTATACTGTCCTTTCTCTGTACGTTAACAATAAAGATGACTGAGCTGCAAATTTCAGAAACAGAGTGTAGTTCCAACCCATTCTGTTGGGCTTCATCTCCCTGGTCAACTCATTCACCTCCTAACTCGGTCCCAAGCTCAACCACAATTCCAAATGGGAAACCCGAAACCACCGCCGATTGTAGTAAGAAGACGAAGCGAACGAGGGGGATTCAAGCAAGCACCCAGTTTACCGTGGCGTACGCATGAGAAGCTGGGGCAAATGGGTGTCTGAAATCCGCGAGCCGCGCAAAAAATCCCGCATTTGGCTCGGTACTTTCCGCACACCGGAAATGGCAGCTCGAGCACACGACGTGGCCGCTCTGAGCATCAAGGGCGACTCGGCGATTCTCAACTTCCCTGAACTCGCGAAATCGTTACCGCGACCCGTGTCTTTAGCACCACGTGACGTGCAAACCGCGGCAGCCAAAGCTGCCCAAATGGCAAACTTGGACTCTCCACCACCATCCTCGGCTTCATCTTCGAGTTCCCCATTGTCGTCTTCGTCATCCCTATCCTCTTTGGTTTCTCATCCCGACTTATCTTCAGGGTCGGACGAGTTGAGCGAGATAGTGGAGCTTCCGAGTCTAGGGACAAGTTACGACTCGGTTGACTTGGGGAATGAGTTGGTATTTCTGGACTCTACGGACAGATGGTTTTATGCTTCTTCACCGTGGCTCGAAAGCATGGAAGATTGCGAGTACGTTTGTAATCAGTTAGTAAATGGCTTCGAACAAGGTTTGCTAAGGGATTATTAATGTTTTCTTTTTTCCTTGTGTTAAAGCCCTTTTGCTTTTTCTTTGAAAGGGCTAAACCTCTGTCATCTTCTTCCTCTCTGTTTAGGTCATCTCTTTCAATGAATCACAGTGTACAGAAGCTTGAAATCAAGTTCAAAACTGGAAATTCTATGCTGATGTTCTTCCAGTTTGATCATCTAATTCTCTTTTACAACTACAGTTTGATCATCATAAAATGGGGAAAGAAAAATGTTCTAAAGAGTATTATTCAAATCTAATCCAACATATAGGGAAAACAGGGGCCTGCCACCAAATTCCCCCTTGTCCGTTGTCATGAATGCTAAGGTTTGCTATTGCCAGATGTCAGATGGCTGTAAAGGTCTTTTGAATA